CCCCCCCCCCCCCCCCTCCCCCCCACACAATCAAAATCCAAAATTTCCATTTTAACAGATCTCTTGACTTGGGCACAAGTCCTTATTGATCTTCACGATCCTTCCCAATTTCGACGACATGGACTCGTCACTGAGTACTGCATCAGCGGCGGCAACCGGCGGTGGGAACGGCGTTATTATTCCACAATCTAACGACCCATCCCCCATGGAATCGTCAGCCACCGCCGCCGCAACTCCGACAGACGATTCAAAACAAAACTTAACCCTAGTTATTAATTCAATCCAGAAAACATTAGGCATCCTCCACCAGCTCTACCTTACCGTCTCCTCTTACAACGTGGCATCCCAATTACCCCTTCTCCAGCGCATGTAATAGCCTAACTAATTTATTTCATCAATTACTATTTTTCTTTTTTTTTAACCGAGTAAGTCCATTTTTCTTTTTCTTTTTTTGTTTTAATTTAAAATTCGATCTTCTTTGTTGGAATAAATAGGAATACTTTAGTGTTGGAACTGGATAATATGACGAAATTGGCGGAGAACTGTAATATTCAGGTGCCCATGGAGGTTCTTAAGTAAGTTTTTCTTTAATAAAAATGTTCTTTAGACTGGTGTATTCGGTTTTATTGGTTCAATAATAAATATGCATTTTCTTTATTCTGTCTGTAGTTTGATAGATGATGGGAAGAATCCAGATGAATTTACGCGGGATGTGTTGAATAGTTGCATTGCCAAAAACCAGATTACTAAAGGCAAAACAGACACCTTCAAGGTTGGTCTTTTTCTTTAAAACCGTGCATGTGGTTTATATGTGAAGTGGTTTATTTTCTCATTTTTGAATTAGTTTTATGGCTGATTGCAACCTGTATTTGCTTACGTATTAGTTCCTTTCATTTGAGTTCTTTTGTAGTATTTACCTGCAACTGATGTATATGGCTCATTAAGTTATCGAACTCGAGTGCACGTGTGCATTTTCTCAAGTAATTTTGCTCCTGTTCTCTGTTAATCAAATATATTCTTGAGCAACAAAGAATGATTTTTACATCTAATCCAAAAAAAAAAAGGGTAGGCAGAGCTCTGGTTAAAGCTTGGGAATGTACAGAACTATCTCTATACAAACAACCTGCTTGCTGAAGCAAAGAGACCTGAAAGTACTGTTTGGAATCTGCAAGAAGTATATGTAACGGTGGCTAAGAGTTCTAGTAAAGTTCAAATAGGACATTGTACTTCCAAAGAAAGCTCAATACTAAAAGTTAAATCCTTAATCAAAATTTGAACAATCATACTTGTCCAATCTGTTTGCATGAAATTAGGGAGTTGGAATATCTAATTCGGAGAAACCATAATTAATTTGTCAGTTTCCCTTCCAATGAAGAAGAGATAAGGACTGCTACTGTCTGGCCTCTAGTTGAAGGTGAATGACACCATCTTTCCATTTCTCTATACCAAGATCAACATTCTGTTGCCAAACGTAAATTCAAAATTATTGTTAGAATTTAACATAAGGAATAAAACTGAAAATTAGGTGAACAAAGAAAGAATAAAATAAAGAATGGAGTCTTTTGAAGTTGGCTGAGTTTATTGCATTGGCTTCCTTTAAACCTTTTACATTTCCATACAGTTGAACGAATACCTTATTGTTTGAAGTTCATAAATTATTGCGAACCATTTGAATATTCAATCACCTTTTTATCTAATGAAAAAAAGGATGAAATGGTCCATGCCTTAATTTTGAACCTGAGCGCCATTATCCATACCCTTTACTTGTTTTTGCTATCCTAGGAAGTTTTGTGAACATATTTGTCCTTACCATTTGCACATAAAAGTCACTTAACAACTTCTTTTGTTCTATACTTTTACCTTTTATTGTTGTTTTCTTTCCTAATTGTATAATTTGGGGTTCAAAATCAGTTCATTCTCATCTGTTTCTAAAATCTGAATTTTGTTATACCCTGATGAGCTGATGATGCAATTCTTTGACAGGCAACCAAATTCATAGGTATTAAGACATAATTGATTCCGTTGATACCTCGATCTGAAGTTCAAAAATTTATTTTTTTGCCCACAATTGTTGATTGCCGTTCCTTGAAGCTTGTAATTGGAAATGGTCTGTGTCTTACAAGCAAAACTGCACTAATTTTCACCATTTGTTAATCATTGAATTTGTCTTACTAATTATTGTTAGAAAATAGCATATTAATCATAAAACTTGCCATGATAGAAAATCCTTGAGACCCCATGTAATTTCCTTAGGCTTTTTATAGTCTTATAAATGCTAGTATGCTACTATGAATTTCCATCATGGCTTATTGCATCTTTAACAGATTCATTTTCTGTACTTGGCCATTTATAAAAAAGGTTCTAACTGTGTTTGATGCGAGCTAAAGTGAAATAACTGTTATTTCTTTTATGATGCAGAGCTTGAGAAGGCATCTGCTCGAAGAACTGGAACAGACATTCCCTGATGAAGTTGAAGCATATAGGGATATACGTGCGGCTTCTGCAGCTGTGAGTTAAATATGAATCTCTTTTTCGTAACATATGACTCATGTGAAACAATGAAATTCTTACCTTATGATATATTTTTTACTTTTGAATGTTAACTTTCCCATGTTTCTAATGGGATTTATTGCTTCAAGAATAACTCATGATTTTGTTATAATAAAATATTCTGGTTTTGATCACTTGTGGTTCTTATGAGCTATACTGTTTCATTGTCATAATATCATGTGTTAGCTTAGACGAGGAAAGGGAATACGAGGAAGTCATAATTCCTGAAAAATTCTCGACAAACAATTTGTGCACTTTTGACCATTAGGAGTAATATGTGCACAAGTTTTAGGCCGTGCTGCTGGGGAGTGGGACTTGATGTGCTTGTCTCTTGAAAAAATGCATCAGCATGTTTGCAAGTCAATTCTTATTATGATTGATAAATGCGAAGTCTTCAATAAATGGTAGTAAACTGAAAATATCAGCCTTCATACATCTCTTGTTTGCATCCAATTGGACACTCTGTTATCTGCTTACCACAGTCATGTATTCGGTTGTAAATATATCTGAAACGAATGTATTCTTTGATCCCAGTTTTGATTTATCACATCACAGATTTAATGTTTGGTGGTAATGAAATGAATGATGAATATAAAATGCTATAATGTACACTATCACCACATATTTGCTTGAAAAAATATAGTATTAGGTCTAAGAACCCAACATTTTTTTAATGTGTTGTAAGCGATGTGATAAGTAAATTGACTCCAGCAACATATCAACCAGTGGAAGAATCTTATATTTGCGTTACCTGTAGAATAGTCTCGTAGATTTTAAATGGAAAAGGGTATTGTTCTCCACCCCGACAGAGAAAAAAGGTGAAAAGGAAAAGAATGAACGATTAAACTGTAAGGTAGAGAAGATATGCAACTTCTGGAAGTGGATAAAGTGGACTCAGAGGACTGAGTAGCAAAAAAATTGTAATTGGCTAATGGGGCTTGGCTGGTTTATAACATAAGAAGTGTTGGCTTAGCTGGCTATATATGTTTGACAACCTACTTTGTTTATTTCATATTGTTAAGCACGATATGGTTTTCTATGTAAATTAATAGATCTTTCTAACAAGCACTAAACAAATTGAGTTTGTTTCGCTCATATTTTTTTTTCCTTGTAATGTTGTATTGCAGTTGGAAACATTTTTTAATTTGACGTTGTAAGCCTTTTAACTTTTTTTGTCTAATGCAGGAGACAAAACGGTTTGCACAAGCACAAAGCACGTTACCAAATGGTGATGTGAAGGTGAAAACTGAGATTTGAGAACCATGGTGTTGAGGAACTGGGTTAATTCAGTCAACATGTGTTTAATGTTTGTAACAAGGGGCTTATATAATAGTTTGCTTTTATTCGGTTTTTGACGATATATTTGAAGAATGTTGCTTTGCATGAACTGTGAAACTTGGAACTATCGATGTCAACCTTAAGTCGAAAGTTAATGTTTATATATCATTCAGACATTGGCATTGAGTGTTGTACATAAATGACATGGGTGTTAGAATATGCCTTGAAATAGCTAAGGATGCCAATTAATTGTTAGGTAAACCACCATGCAACCATATAGAATTAAAATATTTTAGCTGGCTGGTAGATCAACTTCCTGCCTACAAACCTTGACCAACCTTCCCTACTTGGTGTATAAATCTGCGCCCTAAATTCTACCCACAAAACAATCAAAATTCAAGCTAAAAATGGCTAGCAAGAAATCACAAGCAGATGAACGCGCCGGAGCAGAAATTGTGCGTGGAGAAGAAGAATGCTACCAACACTCTATTGAGCAACTAGAAGAGCTGGGATTTCCCAGAGGTGTACTTCCTCTCAAGGACCTTGTAGAATGCGGACGAGTTCGAGAGACGGGGTTTGTTTGGATGAAACAGAAGGCTCCCTATGAGCATTTCTTTGTTGGGAGTAACACACTTGTTAGATATGCCAATGAGGTTACTGCATACGTGGAGAAAGGCAGAATGAAGAAAATGACTGGTATAAAGTGCAAACAGTTGCTTTTGTGGGTGCCAATAGTTGAAATGAGTATTGAAGAATCTGATGCTGAGAAAATTTATTTCAAGACTCCTATGGGGATTGGTCGGTCATTTCCTGTAACTGCTTTTATGAGTCCAGATGACCAGAAAGTTTATCTGGAGAATGTCAAAGAGCCATGATGAATTAAAGGGCTCATGAATTTACACGTTGTTACACTTTTTCTGCACTTCTTTGTTATCGTTGATTGTTGTTATTGGTTGTAATTTCAGTGCTTGTTTGATCTCATTTTTTTTCAAAATGAGTTTCTCTCTCTTATTTTTAATCATACATTTTTCAATAAAATAATATTGCACGTAAACCAAAAAATTTTCGTTCATTTTTAACCACACGTTCTCCATTAATCTACTATTCGAAACTGCATTCTACTCAAAAAAATATGGTTCAAATATGCCCTTAATTGAGTCTTGATGCACTTTTGAAATATATTTATTCTATGTACTCTATTGTACTTATTTACCATGCACAAGTCACATTAGAGTAGTATGGAATAGGATCTAGGTTAAGTACATTGAAAAAATGAGAACACTGGGTATCACAATTAGACATTGTTTGATCCTCAATTTTTATTTTTTTTTCAAAATACATTTTTCTCTCTCTTCTTTTCAACCATATATTTTTCAATAAAATAATATTACACACAATCTAAAAACTTTTCTTTCATTTTAATTACATATTCTCCATCAATCTACTACTCCAAAATATATTTTACACAAAAAAATGGGCTCAAACAAACGTTTAAATGGCTAAATTGCACGCACCTACCGTACTCCACAGCTGTACCCCCAGCCTGCGAGTCCCACATTCCTCACCCCTGCAAACTCCATCGCTCGCGTGGGGTGAAAGTAATTATTTTCGTGTTGGAGAATTTGTTAGATGCTTAATCAATTTACAGGAGAAAATTATTTGAGGATCTTACGCCCTGCCTCGCTCAAGAGGTGTGTCGCTTCTTCGTTCCAATAATTCCCTCGTGATTGCAACATATCATTCCATTTTCATATCCTTTAATGTCATTTCAGTTTCCTTTTATAAAAGTCAACTTGAGATGTAAATTAATTGTTAGGTGCACCAATTCAATTATTGTTATATCTTGGAAACTAACCTAACCCAGTCTTTCCTGCTTGCTGTATACACACCCATGTATTGCAATAAAATTATAATGTATGCGTTCTATATCGAACAATGTAGTAGTGATTCCATTCTCACGTAGACGGATGCTAAATACCAGTGAAACTGAATAACAGTCTCAAAATTATTAAGAAATCGATATATGCTAACTGTGTCCAATTAGGATATTTTGCACAAGTGTTGTATTCTTCAAATATATAAAAAATAAATTTCCTTATAGTATAGAGGAGCATTTAAGGGTGAAGGAAAGAGAACACTTGGGAAATGGATGTTGGAAAATGGAAATTGTATAAATTTCTTCCCAGTTTGATATAAGAATAAGAATAATGTTATCTCTCACAAGTAGTGATGATCACCCGTCTCTAGGTGGTCTCGATTCATTTTCTAATTTCATTAAATGCATTGCAACTTTATTAGAGAATTAAATGTCACTGTCACCTAAATATGTGATTATCATAGGTGATGAACAATATTGCTCTTTGTATACCATAGCTCACTTCACATAATGAAGAAGAAAGAAATGAATTAATTGGATGCTTATCTGAAATAAATACAACATTTCATGTATTGGACCATACATTTCACTAAGAATGCACATTCTTGGGTTTTTTTTAGACATAATCGTGTAATATAGTATTATTTTTTGACGAGCGAAATGGTGGACAAAGCTAGACCAAGGGAAGTGCTACACATACATAATTTTTCATATAATGGTGTTCATAATTATACGTGACACTATATTCAACCTTTAATTCAAATCTTACACTTTCACATCAACAGTCAGATCTTGTCCACATCACATTATGGACACCATTATGTGGCCAAATTATATACACTTAGACTTTTCTCTAGACGGGAGAGGTCTAATAATTTTTTCATTTTGAAAATCGAAATTCAAGGCTGTCTTATATAGGTTGAACCCCAACTTTGAGGGCCCCCACCGACCCTGCCCTGGACCATTGTGGAGGAGGTAAATCGCAGGATGTGCCTCTCAGGAGCCAGGGTGGAGAGCTTATGGATAGGCCTGGGCTATTAACCCTATGGTAACTCCCGCTTGCAACAAAGCCAATTCCACCTTGCGGGGAATCGAACTCTGCACACTACCGCGCTGAGCCCTAACCGCCCTCCCCTTTGCCACTGGTAGATATGCCCTGGGGGCTTCAAGGCTGTCTTATGTTTATTTGTGTTTGTCAATGGTAAAAATGCGACTGACATCAAATGTAAGGCTGTGTATGATTTTCTACTTTGTTTCCTTATGCAAAGAATCTTTTCTTGAAAAGTAAACAATCCCTACACTTTGGGTTATGGAAAAGTTCCCTCCCTCCTTTCCACTTTTCAACTACTCCATTCTCGAGTTGATTAGAGCATCCAAACAAATTGAATAATTTAAAAAGTGGTTTAATTTCAGGGAAATAGGCAAAATAAGAGCAATATGTATATGGCACCTACTGCACTAAGCATTTCTCGTATTAATAATTAATAGTAAAATTGAAGAACAATACTTTATAACGTAGACGACAACTCCGTTTACTTTGATCAAATAAAGCATGGAGAATTGGACCAAAATAATTGCAACTTTTAGCAAGAAAAGGTACACACACGACACCGACTTTAAAGATTGAAGAAAACAAGGAAAAAGGAGTTATGAGAGAGATAATCAAGGAAATTTTTTTGGGTTTTTTTAGGTCAAATAGTGTAATTCGGGGACATGAAGTCAAAAAAGTAGTTGTAAATTCCTGTTTTGCACAAATATCAAGAATTCATACTGTTATTTACATGGAATCAATCTTTAATCGAAGTTCAATGAATTAAAATTCCGGTTCATGGCCAGTTAGCTTTGGACTCGGTTATGATCGAGCTCAAGCCTGCACCCATGAGTCCGAGCCCTTCAAGCGCCCACCCCGGCCGTGTCCATTGCCATTTCTAACTAAAATACTTTGGTAAATGGGTTGATGGAAAAACACGTAACCCTATTTATGAAAAAGCATTACGCTTTCAAGAAATTGAAGAATCGTTTCACTTGAAAACTTTCAAAGTAATTTGAAACTTTATGATGTACACGTAAGTAATAAATGCCTAGCTAGGTACAACATGCTATTCAACTGCCTAAGCTAAATTTGAATTTAGGCCAAGTTGATGGCAACCATTCAAAAAAAATTGTTAACCTGCCTAATTTAAATTTGAATTTTGGGCAAGAAGCCAGCAATGGAGACTTTGAAACTTGCTTTTCATGCACAACTAATGGCAATGTCTTTTCCAATAAGATCAAATAACTCTTTTTCTTATAGCATCCAAAGTCACGCCTATCTTTTCAATTCCCAAATTTCGAGATGAATATGGATAAATAAATAAATAGTGCGAAAAAGTTAATACCTTTATATATGGAGAAACTAGTAATTCACATTACTCTTAGTAGGAAATATGGTAGGGTTGACGAAAGTAACCCTCAAAGACGAGTCTCGTTCTAAACATTTATCACTACAAATAAAAAGTTAGGAGTTTTGCGATCCAATTAAGGACTTGTATGCCTAATTTCGTAAAGGTTGAGGACACTTTCCTTTAAAATTCATACTATTTTCCTTCCATTTCGTAATTTCCAAGCGAATTATTGTCCAAAATATAATGAAATGTTGATGACTAGTTATTTGAACTATATGTTATGAGCTTTTTCAAGAGATTCTCTATTTACGAAGACATCTTATGCATTATAGAGAGCGTCTTTGAATTTAGAGAGTAAATTTTTATATGCACTCCAACTATATATGCTTTCACTTTTGACTCTTGATTTTATTTTTTTCAATGAACATTTATTGATTTCTCCGCAGCGCTTATTTAACATAATTTTTTTATATGTTAATGGTCAATCATTTCAAATGTGATTTGAATAATTTAAATTGTAGAGTATTGAAATTTGTAACTTATTAAATACAATCATTGCTAGAGCATCTCAAATAGTCTCTTTAAATATAAGATATTCTCTATTTTAAAGAGTCAATTTTTAAAATTATGTTCCAAGTGATTCTTTAAATTAATATTTTAATATAGAAAATGAGTTTGAAGAGCCAAATCCACCTTCTATAATTGAACGCATTCAAAGT